TAAAGGGTTCGAATCTCAGTGTAGCACTAACTTCCTTTGGGAAAAAATTAATCCATATTTTCCATTTTCCAGGTATAGGTAAATAGGTACCTGACAATAGCTGGGAAGACCAGCAATGGTAGTGGCGAGGCTTCCCTTGATAAACAAAATTATCGTTACCATTATATCTCTTATTTTTTAATATAATTATAATGAATATCAAGCCCGTACAAGCTTTTTTTTTAAGCGGGGGTTCTTAGGGTTGCAACTTTGAGCCAGAAGTGAGAGTGAGGCATTGGGAGGGAGCGACCAAGCCCGAGGAATATTTAGCGGCAAACATGCGGGGGGGCGGGGGTGTAGGGCACAATTATTTCTTTAATCAACACCCCCCCCCTTCTTAAGCAAAGAACAAAATAAGACCCCACAAAAACTAAAAAATATTACTTTGTTAAGGGGGAGAGGGGGGGGGGGTTCGCGCGAACTCCCGAATCCTTAGTTTGTACGGGGGTGTATATATAGCGGTCATTACCTAAAGACAAGCATGTTGCGATGACATAGATGAATTTCAATACACTGTTCTGTTCCATACCCTCTGTTCATGAAGAAGAAAAATATTGCGATTAAATCATTTGTTATTTTATCACACGTTTAATTTATTTGTAAAGCTTTCCCCACTATTTCTAAAGGACCGTCAATACTACTGGGCCAGAAGGGATTAGACCACACAGCGAGGTCACTGACAGGTGGCTATCTCATTAACTCAGCTCTCAACTAACATAAGAAAAAGAGGATCATGGGGACCAACAGGCACCGATCGGGGAAGTTTTCTATATAGAGGGAGCAAGGAGCAACAAGTAGGACAGTGGGGCTTAAGAGTTTATATTGTTATCGTTTAAAGTTTGTGGTTTTCTCGTGTGATTAGTCCTGAATAAGGAATCTTCAGAATAAAGGGGATATAAACGAAGACATAACCCAACGGTCCATTTTCGTGAAACCGCAATCTTAACGAAAGTTATACTCACTTAATCCTAAACCTAACCCGCAAAGATCATCTGAATGTATTAGTCGTAGGAATAATATGAGGATACAGTTTTTTCGCCAGTTATTTACTCACCACTTTGGCTAAGCATCACTAAGAGAGATATCCTTATGATAGGTTGTCGTTATGGTCCGATGGTACCAGCCTGCCGAGGAGAGGACGAAATTAAGATTTCATAATAGTTGTGTTTCACTGAAACGGCATTGAGTTATAACGTTAAGAAAGCCGTAACAAAAACAAGCAAAAATGATTAAAAAGATTAGTTAAGGTGGGACACTTTCACGCCATTACAAAGAGCACACCTCAACTGATTTTCAATTTTAGGCAATTTAAATGGATAAGTGGTACGTTAAAGATTGATGAGACACCTTTTAGCTAGACCCTTCCTTAGGCCTTACGGGTTAGTAGAATGAGACCATTCAAGCAAGGCGAATAAGGCCATTTGGTAGTATTGAAAAGGAGCATTTTACTCTGTCCTAAACAAGAGAGAGTTCATCGTAACTAAACCTATTGTCAGTTATGGCATCGAAGAATCCGGACCTATTAAATAAATGACCAATACAATAATACAAAGAAATTGGGTTGTTTAATTCTTGCTCACCTTGACAACTCAGTAACAAGTGTCAATAATAAATGTGGGTCGTGTTTATTATAATACCACAGACTCACAGAGGGCAGGCGTTAAAATTACATCTATCGGGTCAAACTGACAAACGTACACTCTGCTCTAGAAAGAAAAGATGATGCGTGCCTCTTTGTGGATTACCATTCGGTTATATAGGGTAAATGCACTTTGGAAACTGTTTTTCAAAGGTTTTAGGAGCACTTATCTATCGCCAAGGATGCTGAAGACGTTTATAAAGTATTAAAGGTAATACAAAGTTTTGGTATGGGAGTCACCAATTTGGTTTTAATGAACATATAAGAAGCATATGAGATTTTACAATATTCAATGATCGTTGTCGCAGTTGAAATCCAGTCTAAAGTGATGAAATTGTAAATAATAAACTCTTTATGTTGTATAGCTCCCTCTCAAGACTGACATTTCTTTAGCTTTAAAACAATGTTCTTGACTACAATCAGCGACCGATTTCCTATTCCCGTTTAGAAATTATATATCATAATTTCATATTTAGATTTTCATGGTCACAGCTACCATGGAATGACCATAGGCGCTATTTGGAATATTTAAAATCTACCGGGAGCACCGGTAAATTTTGATTATTCAATTTCTCGAAAACAAAAGTGTTTTAGGGGCTAGATATTCTATTGCTTATAATGCATCCCCAGGGGCTTCAAAATATATCAAATTTTTAAAGAGTTACTATCCATCCAATTTTTCAAAATTGTCCCAAACTTTGCATTACCTTTAATAGTACCATGAGACGCTCAGAGCATTGAAAGAATACATTATACAATTAAGGTACGCATTTACTACAACTGGGTGAAGAGCAGCAAATGTAGAGCCCTTTGTGATCCACGATCCCGTGACCGTTATCCATTGGGCCACGAAACGTCTACATCGAATAGTGAAAGATTTCACCATCTACGTACGAAAAAGAGCGAGGAGTCCAAAATAGAGAGGGTGTGTTTTTTTGTTGATGTGTAGGCGTAAGTGTGAGCGTACACGAGCGTGCCTTCCTGCGTGTGTTCATGTTTGTGTGTGTGCTAGGTGGGTGAGTGGGTGAGAGATAGAAATTATGGAGTAGAGAGAGAGAGAGAGACAAACGAAAAGAAACTGTACTTATTAAGGGATGTCATTTTTGTCCATTCACTGAAGTGTTGAATAGGCTACTCCCTTCGAAGTTGCACTATGCTTTAAAAAAATGATTGAATGAAAATGTAATTCCGCGATGAGATATGTAATTGGTTGGGATATTTTATAAACGATTGCGAGTAATCGCAACCTTTTTTAAAGATTGATACCACCCCCCCCCCCCCACTCCGTGAACGGAGGGATACCATGCGTGTTCCCAAACTCTCCGGCTCGTAACAAAAGAAAAAGGTCTACCCGTATTGACTTTACACACCGGACTTTTGCTGAAAGGGGGGGGGGGGTGCTGAAAAAGGCTCTTATAACAAAAGGAAAAGGTCGACCCGTATTGACTTTACACACCGGACTTTTGCTGAAAAGGGGGTATCGCTGGGAACACGCATATGCGTACCCTAATAAAACACTGAGTGGGGGGGGGGGGGCGGGGACTGATATCAATCGCAACCATGTACATAAGAAAAGGGGTACTGCAAACTTGCGATTGATTTGGATTTGGATCAATCGCACCTCTTTAAAAGACAGGGGCCAGGTCACTGGCATGATGGCAACCAATTCATTTGTTTTCGATAGCATATCTGACAGCCAGCCGGCCGCGATCACTTGTTTTGATGGTTGTAATATAGCTATCGTCTCCAGTGCACAAAAATGTGGACATAATTACCACGTTCTGACAATCGTGATGAACGGAAAAAATAAACAATAACGAAAACAAGCCTTCTTTCAAGAAAAATGGGGAAATTTGCCAGTTTGCCTACCTTGATTTTTCTTCTAACTCTGATTGATTTGAGAGTTTTGGGACGTCCGGTGCGGTGGACGAAGAGAGACATATGGCAGTCTTTACCTGCCGAGTTGAACGTGGTTCCCGTTGGAAAATACAACTTTTGCACCGTTCTTTACAGACAGGAACTGGAGTTGGTCGACTCCCCCCCCCCCTCACACTCCTTGAACGGAGGGATACCACGCGTGTTCCCAAACTCCCCGGCTCGTAACAAAAGAAAAAGGTCTACCCGAATTGACTTTGCACAGTGGACTTTTGATGAAAGGGGGGGGGGTGCTGAAAAAGGCTCGTATAACAAAATAAAAAGGTCGACCCGTATTGATTTTACACATCGGACTTTTGTTGAAAAGGGGGGGGGGGTCGCTGGGAACACGCATATGCGTACCCTAAATAACGCTGAGTGGGGGGCGGGGGACGACATCTTCCTCACAAAACTAGTCTTGGTAAGCTTATTTCTTATTTACCGATAATAATGATATTACAGTTGATGCAATCACACCTTTCCACGCCTAAAATTATGTAAGTACGATTTTTGCTGTTTGTTTGAATCCATAAACGTGCATGATCCCGTTACAAGTAGCATTAGTTATGTGTTTAGTAATCGTGTGTTAATATAATAGTAGTAAATGTGTATTCTGCGAGAATACAAATAATTCAGGAAGGAATTCTACTATTTGCAGAATGATTATGATGAAGATACATTTAAATGATTTTTCAAAAACTTACTGTAAGCTAGCCTATAAACCCTTCGAATATTTGAAATAATAGGACTCATCTCCAATAATAATTATTGTGATCACTATTTTTTTTGTTTGGCCCTCGAAAATTTGAAAAATCATGGGGGGGGGGGGGGGCTATCTCAAAAAAGATAAATTTAACGTGTTTTTACACGTTGTTTTCCTAGGGGGCCGGGTTTTTATGTTCCATGCAGCTCCCTTCCTATTGTAGATAATGACCTAACTTCAAAATGTTTTTCCCTTCAAATGACAATGTGGATACACGCATAAAATCAGTTTAAGTTCATTCAAGAAAAAGGACAGATCTTTACAGGCGCGGATCCCCCACCTGGACTTGTTTTTGTAGAATTTGTTGTAGTTAGTGCTCACACTACCCCCCCCCCCCCCCCCCCCCACTGAGCTAAAAACGGTCTGCGCACTTTACGAATTCCCGGGGGCAAAAATGAAGAAAAAAAGTGCTCTTACCTCCCCCCCCCCCCCCCCCCCCCCCCCCCCCGCTTATTCAGTGGCCGGCTGAGTCATTTGCGAAAATTTTTATCAAATCCTGGACCAAATTTTTAAAAAAAGTGCTCTTACCCCCCCCCCCCCCCCCCCCCCCCTAAAAGTCCCTATTATTAGTCAGGATGAACAATGTCCTATATTTTGGCAAAGAGGGCTTCGTGAAACGCTTATCGGACAACAAGCTTACTGGCGCTGATCCAGTTATCCAAGGAGTTAGACTTATGACTGTTTCGAGAAACGGTGCAGGCCCCAAGTCGATCTCCAACGTATACTGCATATACGCAATAGTTTTCATTTGATGGAAACATGACGACCTCGTCAGGGACCTCATTGACGACCATCGAGGATTTTCGACGTCAGGCTAAGGAGCTGGTGTCATCAGAAGGCTGGTCATTTTACAACGATGCGTCGGGACGGAGATCGACATTTCGAGATAGCATGGCTGCCTTTGACCGGTAGGTGTTTGAAACCTTAAAATTTATCAAACAAACGTTGTAGGTTAGTTGCCTTTATAACATTACGCTTTGTAAACATTTAAACACGGCCCACTGACAGAAATTTATCTGTGATACTGAACCCCTAAATAAAGCGATCGTTTTGAAGAGCATTACACTATTGTACCCGTCAAAATTGCGGCTGTCTGACATCACGACAAAAGAACACTCAATTAATTATGCAATGTCCACTGCAGAAGTGTAGCAGCGCATAACTTAATATTTTTTCAGCATTCCTGAAGCCCCCCCCCCCCCCCCTACAATCACCACTGTCATCCCCTTGATGTGATAGACATGAGGGGAATAAAGTAACCAAAAATCAGATTCACTGTACCGTACATTTACGTAACAATAGAGAATGAGAACTGTACGTGGAGTATGACTGGAGAGGGGCGTTACGAGATAACAAAAATAGGCATTTTCGTAATGTAATCATTACATTCACCTCAATTATATATTTCAATGGTCAGAATGCAAAGTACATGTACATACAATAAAGGCAGAATGTTTGTCCGACTCATGCAGCAACAACTAATGTATGCAGTTTGCATTCTTGTGAGAAACAATAACACGTGAATCTTATAACTCGACGCTTGGTTATCGTGTATACATTTGGATAGGATTGTATTTTTTAATGGCCTATTTTACATGTTGTATGACGGGGAGAGAAGCGTTACAAATTTTTGAATATTCAGGTATGATAGCATAATCATATGACCTGAAACGAACGGGACTATCGTGATGTTAAAAACCCTGTATATAATTGATCTGTATAGTCGGTGCGTTAGGCAAACATAACAAGTAAATAGTCTATTTGGTAGCTTATCATGTACTGCGCCAAGGATATACCATATAATAGTCATAAAATGATTGCCAACCAACAACAAACAATGCCTGCTTCCAAAGTTCATTTATCTATGTCGTTACACATTTACACTGCAAAGGGCACTGTTTATGAAACCTCTTTCCACTAGCGTATTTGGAGGAGAAAGAGGGCAATTTCCCCTTCCTAAAAGATTTCCGGGGGATGCTGCTGCTTTCTTCACCCCTTTGAACGGTCGCTTGTTTGCCACACGAGCAGTTTTGCACAAAACAATATTGAGGGAATTATTGCTTTATGCAATGCACAATGGCTTTGCAGAATTATACATTTCCGGCTTTGATTAGCTCCATGATAGATAATAGACCTATTGATCACAGTAAGTTGCCAATTGTTCTTATATAAAATGATTTGCCCCTCTTGAGGAAAACGTCTGGATACGCAACTTCCTCTTTCATACAAGATGCAATACCTACCTCAAAAAACCAAAGAGAAATCCTCTATGAAACAAAGTAATTTTCATGAATAAAGTGAGTGTGAACAAAAATAACCCGCGAGCAAGGAAGATCCCAGAGCATGCCTGGGTGCCTATTTAAAGTTATAATGGGTTATTACGGAATGATTATATTATAATAAAGTACAATATGATATAAAATAACAATTATAACACAATATGGTTTATATCATGATATATAATAATATGATATAAAATAATATAATTTACCTTTTTTCGGGATGTTTATTTACCTCAAGTGTGAACGAAGCTTAGATTAGCGGATAGCTGCGAGACCACCACTTGCGGATATCCGAAAAGCTGACCTATATTGGAACCGATTTGACAGCGGAGGCCATAACTTAGGCGAGATGAAGGAATACAGGTCAGCGTATTGTGGACTATCATATTTTAGTAATTTTTCTGCCTAGAACTTGTGCAGGTGATATCTACCCCTTTCTCTCTCCCTCTTTCTCTCTCCCTCTTTCTCTCTCCCACTTTTCTTTCTTCTCTCTCTCTCTCTCTCTCTCTCTATATATATATATATATATCTATATGATCATCTCTCTTCAATTCTAGCTACGTGATTCGTCCTCGTATCCTCCGTGACATCACGCAGCGTTCTCTGTCTACGACGGTGTTAGGTCAACCAATCAGCATGCCCATCTGCGTTGCGCCAGCGGAAGCACAGCGATTCGCCCATCCAGACGCCGAAGTAGCATCGGCTAAAGGTTCGTTTGAAGTCAATGGATAATTTCCGTAATGTAATCAAACTTAATGCATAAATCTTTGTTAAAGGGATTGGGTATCTTGGTCTCACATTCTAAACAAAATCCTGGATTTAGTTCATGCTGCAATCATAATTATAAACCTTTAGGTCAGTCAGGAATCACATGACTTTTACAAGCCGATCGCCTGTCTGATTATCAAGATATTTATGATTGAAATTTGAAATTTCAAAAACCGTTTTCCCAACGGTTTTGATTACACTACAATCTTTTGGGACAAATGACTATGGTTAAACCGGCACTTCAAGATAATGATTTGCATTAAATTAAGATACATTCGAAGATGGCATATTACACTGCATGTAATAGGGACCGATACCCAATCCCCACCCCATCCCGACCAACTATCCCTCCACCACATCTTCCCACCTCGCTGACCGACATGCATCATCTAATTGAACGAGGTGTTGTGTCTAGTGGACAAGTCTCCGGTAGGCCTGTGAAACACAAGGCACGGGGTTCGAATCCTGTCACAGCACTCAAGTCCTTTGATAGGACATTTATATATATTTTGCCACTGTAGACAAAGGTAAAATAAATGGGTACCTGGGCCCCGTCTTACAAAGAGTTGATAACAATCGCAACCTATGAAATACGAGATAGGAGACTGCAAACTTGCGATTGGATCAATCGTAACTCTTTGTAAGACGGGGCCCTGGTATGCATCGAGCACTATAACAGTGATATCTCCTCATCAGACTATTCCATTTAAAAAGGAAGCTTTCTTCTTTTAAAAAAATGTTAACAGTGATAATAAATATATAGCTATTAACTCGGTTATCCGTGCTAATGTCAAATTATTTACTAGGAACTGCGGATTCTGGAACCTTGTTCATAATGTCATCATTTGCTAACGCATCCATCGCAGAAGTTTCGCGGGCAGCCCCGGGAGGGTTACGATGGATGCAGCTATATCTCTTCAAAGATCGACGGTTGGCTGAACACGTGGTAAAGGAAGCCGAGAGAGAAGGATTCAAAGCTATCGTTCTCACCGTCGATTTACCTCTGTGGGGAGACTATTCATTCTACAAATCTTCGCATGCAACTTCAGCATCGAGATACTATCACGATCCAAGCCTGAGGTAGTATTATTCTGGATTGTCTTTTAAGCTATGCTAGAGATCGACTGGATCCTTTTAAGGTCCATGTCACACACTAGACACTATTTCCACTGCAGCATAATTCAAGCACATTCGGTTATTATAAACGCAGATAACAGGTCAAGGCGCCATTTATAGGCACAGTCGCAACCCCTTTAAACAGGATACGATGGCCTCGCAATATGATAGAAAATCAGGTTCGGAAACTATTTGCGCAACAACAATTTACACAAACCAATGCGTTCGTATAGAACACTAGTTGCTGGTTTGATCGACAACTCAGGCGCATCCGTAAATGTCTGGATAAAGCCTCTTGCTCATAATGTATTGTCATAGTGTCATGAATTGTATTGAATTATAAAATCCATATTGACGCCTTTTCGCGTAGTGGAATAACGTCTCGTGTACAATATGGGCTTCAAAATAATGAGCGTTGCAGACGAGGAGTCAGTAGGGCCTTTTAGATTTGCACGTCGGCATAGTGGACTGCTACGTGTGACGTCCTTTTATTAGATGACAATAATTCATTATGCACACAAAAAAAAGATTCATAAAATTTCTTTGACAATAATCGTTTGATTTAATTAATTGGAAATTTAATGTTCAACATTTTTTTCTTATTCACGATTCGAATTCGCTATAAGACCTTCATTTTCACGTTTTTTTATGAAGTATTTATCGTCATCACCCACCTTAACTTATCGTACAGACCAACGAATCTAGCCATAGACATACCAGAAGTGCATGATGCCATCCGCTCTGGTGACGTCAACATACGTCATTACCTGGCTCAGCAGTACGACGCACCCAAAACATGGGATGATATCACATGGCTCAAGTCGATAACGTCACTTCCAATCGTGCTAAAGGGTATTCTTACAGGTAAGGAATACCGAACTTTCGCTAAAGTTTGATGATATTACTTGAACACGTAATGGAAGTGGAAAAGAGAAGTGGATTGAGATGGATGTGTGATCATGTGTTGACAAGGGAGATTCTGGGACACCTACCCCCTGGACATCCATCCCCCGGATAACCACCCCCAGACAACTACCCCCAGGCAACTACCCCGTCGCACATCTACCCCCTAGGACAGCTACGCCCGGACAACTACCCCCGGACAACTACCCCCAGACAATTACCCCCAACGACAACCATCCTCTAGTACATCTATCCTAGGGGGTAGTTGTCTGGGGGTAGTTTTCCGGGGGTAGTTGTCCTGGGGGTATTTTTCAAAGGGGGTAGTTGTCCGGGGGAAGTTGTGCTAGGGGAAGTTGTGCTAGGGGGTAGTTGTATGGGAGTAGTTGCTCAGGGGTAGTTGCCCGGGGGTAGTTGTCCTAGGGGGTAGTTGTTCTAGGGGGTAGTTGACTGGGGGGGGGGTATCCTGGGGTGGATGTCCAGGGGGTAGGTGTCCGGATACGGAGAAGGGAAGATGATGAATTGTGAAAAGACCGTGGGATCTTAAAGTGGATGGCATCAAACGGAAAGGAAAACCATTTTGGGGGTGATAGGCAGAGGTGACGATTTCTTCATGACCGGGGGGACGAAATGCGAGGGACGAGGGAGGAGCATATAGTGAACGAGAGGGGCGAAGGCGACGGAAGTGACTGTTATCAGACAGGAAGCGGAATTTCTATATTTTTATAACTCTTAATCTTGTAAACATACAGTGTAAACTGTACTTACGTGATACCAACGGAATACAGATTTTCTACAATATTTACTTGTACATTTTGAAGGATTTTATGCAAGCTAGCGCAACGAGAAGATTTTTTTTTTGCACATGTATACGTCTAAACGCTGCACTCTTTGGCCCTCAAGAGCATAAAAGTGTGTTGCAGTCTTTAGTCAGCATTTGCTATACATTTTCTTTTTTTGCGTTTTTTCAAATTTTTCCGGGGGTGACGGTGGAGGGACGTGTACCCCCGTCCTTCCGTGGTCACCGCCCCTGGTGAAAAGATAAGGTGATCCAAAAGATCAGTACTATGAGGAGGATGCTCGAGATAGGAAGAAGTGGGGGGGGGTGTCATCTTGATGGTCAGTAACCCCTCGTGAGAGGGAAATTGCTGACTTTAGTGATGATGATGATGGTGATATCAGTAACATGTGATTTACAATTGTTTATTGAAATTGCTTTTGTGAGTTAATTTTTTGAAAGTCTTTGTGATGATGTTTAGAACCCCCCCCCCCCCCCCCCCCCCCCCTCTCATATAACTTCTTGATATTTGTTACAGGCGAGGCTGCGATGGAAGCGGCTGATGCCGGAGTCTCTGGAATCATTGTATCAGCTCACGGTGGAAGGCACATGGATGGAGTACCTGCTCCGGTAACGAACGTTGCTTTTTGGGCATTTTTATGGAATGAAAACATGTTAATAAGACTTTTGATGGGCCATTCATTCGATAGGAAAGTTATGTCCCCTTGTGCCTATTCGGCAGGAGGAAAGGTGATGTGGGCCACAAAAGTATTCCCACAAAATTTATGAAATCAACAGAAGTACTATAGGAAGCTTCCTTTTACCTCTAAAGTTGTTTTTGTTGTTAATGCACCCTTCAATCCTACACCACAAAAGACTGCTTTCCCGGCGCCACCTTTCTTCAATCTCCCCCTCAACATCCTCTCTAATTTCTCAAAATTTCATTGCCGTCATGGAAGTGAATTATGTTCATAATCTCGTGCAAGTGAAAGTTTTTTAATCTGTTCACAGATTGACGTCCTTGCGGAAGTAGTGTCAGCGGTCAAAGGTCGTGGGGTTGAGGTTTACATGGATGGAGGGGTACGATCAGGAACCGATGCACTCAAGGCTCTCGGATTGGGGGCACGGGCAGTACTAATAGGTAGACCAGCCCTCTGGGGGCTAGCTTGTGATGTAAGTAGCTGGGAACTCCTGGGCCAGGAGACTGTACCGATCGATCTTACTGAGACTTAGACTTAAACTTACACTAATCCAGGGAGTAGCGTGTGAATATGGAAGGAGCTGAGAATTCACGGTCAAGGAGACTACCGATCGGTCTTACTCAGACTTAGACTAACACGTATAGTCAGGGGAGTAGTGAACGTGTGAATATGAAGGAGCTGAGAATTCACGGTCCAGGAGACTACCGATCGGTCTCACTGAGACTTAGACTTACACGTATAGTCAGGGGAGTAACGTGTGAATATGAAGGAGCTGAGAATTCACGGTCCAGGAAACTACCGATCGGTCTTACTGAGACTGAGACTCACACGTATAGTCAGGGGAGTAGTGAACGTGTGAATATGGAAGGAGCTGAGAATTCACGGGTCAGGAGACTACAGAACGGTCTTGCTGAGACTTAGACTCACACGTAAAGTCAGGGGAGTAGTGAACGTGTGAATATGATAGGAGCTGAGAACTCACGGTCCAGGAGACGACCGAACGGTCTTGCTGAGACTAAGAATTACACGTATAGTCAGGGGAGTATTAATCGTGTGAATATGAAAGGAGCTGAGAACTCACGGTCAAGGAGACTACCGATCGGTCTTACTCAGACTTTACTCTTTCACTGTCTTAGACTAGTCTATGGAGTAGCGTAAGGAGTTTAGAACTCACAATTCATTTAATTACAATCTTGTTCTTCTCGTATACTTATTACAGTTGTACGCATGATACCCGCGGCTAATATATCTATGTTCCGGCACATATAAAAACCTTCATATTTTAGGCACATTTTCATATTTCTATTTCTTTTTCTTTTTCTTTTTCACAGGGTCCGGCTGGAGTTACTAAGGTATTATCAATCTTACGATTCGAACTGGACACAGCTCTAGGCATTTCAGGTAAGTTTACCATGTCTGCCTGTCCAAAATAATTTGTAGTCGATAGAGTTGACTTTTGTTGTTTCATGTTTTATGTTAGGACAGATTATTTGATTTGATTTGATTTGATTTATTTTCCACTCAAATATCCACAAATTAAATGACATATATTAATCATACAGTAATACAATTATAATAGAACAAATGAATACAAATAACGAAATACTGACAAGTATAATGTTTATTGTCTTACAATATCTCTTTGTAGATGCAATATCTAGAGATCGTATATTATCAATATAACAAGCTCTACATACCCCTGAAATACAGAGCAAATAATATATATATATATATTCATTCTGATGGTTGGTACACTTTAAGGATATACATACCTTATGAAATCACTCTGTTTGCTTGATATTTGACAGGTTGCACCAGTATTCAAGACATTCCGCCATCATTGATAGCTCGGAAATCTTACCTATGAATTCACCCTCATCGATCAAACTCCGTCCAGCTGAGAGGAATTGTCTCTCATTCACAGACAAAGCTAAGAGATACAAGAATGTCACTCCCCAGTTCATCTGAGAAAAAACTGGAACTTAGGAGCTGGTTTAGACCGTAATCGTATACCCAACTCTCTCCATATATCGCTCTCTTTATCTCTCTCTCTCTCTCTCCCCACTGATTGGTCGAAATTCGTTTTCTTGCCAATTCATATCCGATCAGATACACCATAAAGTATAGCGTGAGAATTTTAAATTGTGATTTTTCGTTAAAGATGAAGTTGAGTTGTGGTCATGCGATTGCATTATGAAAGAAACGGTGTGGAACCGACCAGAAAAGGTTGATCATCTAGCATATAAGAATGTGTGTGTATTGCAAGGTTCTGGAATCATCAAAATGATAAGAAATTTGGCCAAGTCTTGGTAAAGTTACAAACACTTGCACAGAAAGATGTATATGGGACTTCACGAACACGTGGCGTAAAAAGCCGGCCCCCGATTTTTACGATGTTACATGCATATTTAGAATATGAAGGCATATGAAGAGCCATGCTTTTCAGGGAACATGTCTCAACTGATGTTCTTCGACACTTGCACAATAAGAATGAGTAATGCTCACAAATAATTTTTCACCTCTTCCCAGAACTCAACCTTCTCTTTAATTACTAATTATTGAGCATGTTTTGTGAAATGGAACATGTGATTCTGTAATTGTAATAAAAAACATATGTTTTAAGATCAAAATGGTTTATTCCAATTAGGATGAAAACCGAACTGAAAGAAAAGTAGGGTTGTCCCCCGACCCACTCTCTCTCTCGGCTCTCTCTGTATTCGAACCTATGGATCGAACACCTGTTTGTGTGGATGCACGTGTGCGGAGGGTGTGCTGATATTAGACTTGCCTTTTCTTTATTAACCCTAGACTAGCTTTATTGTATTTACATACTCCAATACTAGATGGAGGATAAACGTTCATATAGCAGTTCTGTACTTCATTTATAATTTGACTATTCTTTGCATCATAAGTGGAAAAGAGCTCATGAATATTTCAAATTTTAATTTAAATATTTTGCGCGCTGCGCGCAGCCCAAATCCCCATTTCGCTGGGGCACTAAATAATTGTCGTCTCCATAGGCTAATATATGAAAAGTGGAAGCAGCGTTCACTTTTTGACCCTCCAAAATCTCCCCATGGCTAGATGGATGCAGAAGCGGAGTTGAGAGCCCCTGATAAGTAGTACAATGGAGATTTAAAAGGTGCTGTATTTCAAAGCCAAAAATACATTCTGTGTTGGTCTTGATATTCATTGTACATTAAACTAGTCTTTTACCATATTAAAGTGTTTTAAAGACTGTGTTTGTTTAAATGCTTGACATCCCAATAAAAAAATAAAAATTATGGAAAAAAATTATTTAAAGAATTTTTTTTTAATGGGGGGGGGGGGGGGGGAAACAAAATCACAAGATGACACACAAAAAAAAAAAAAAAAAATCCGCCCACCCGCCCCTACTCCAGAATAGCAATCGAGGAACACCAAATGATTTTTTTTTTTTGTTGGCCTAATATTGATAATACAGTTGATGATGCAATCACACCTTTCCACGCCTAAGATTTTATGAGTACGATTTTTGCCGTCTGTTTGAATCCATAAACGTGCATGATCCCATTACAAGTAGCATTATTTATTCGTTGACTTGTAGTAATCGTGTGTTCATATAGTAGTAAATGTGTATTCTGCGAGAAAACAAATCATTCAAGGAGGAATTCTATGATTTGCAGAATGATTATGATGAAGATACAGTACATTGAATTGATTTTTCAAAAACTTACTGGAAATAGATCAGTAAGCTAGCCTATAAACCCTGCGAATGTTTGAAATAATAGGACTCATCTCAAATAATAATAATGTTGCCTATAAATACTTCAAAGTTCAAGTGTAAAACTTATTTTCTACGTTCGATTTAATTCTGCTTAAAGGCCAAGTCCACTCCAAAAATAACTTACTTTCAATAGAAGCAGAAAATTCAGACAAACCAATCAAAACAAGTTTGAACAAAATCAGATAACTAATAAGAAAGTAATGAATTTTTGAAAAAATATGTAAAACTATGGAAAATGTGAGCACTATTTTTTTTTTTTTTTTTTTTGCTTCCGAAAATTTGATCGAATCAGTTTAGTTCATTGAAGAAAAGGGACTGACCTATAAACATGACATATTTTCATACAATTTGAAATGTTTAAAGAAGGATAAATCCCTGTTTAAGGGAATGTGTAGAAAGATCATAGCTGGGGGGATTGCTAGTCCTTTTGCCAGCCATAGCCTAAATGGTTTGTGAGGGCGTTGCACAACGACTAAAAAGTTATGACAGAGACAGGACAGGGTCGGAGGCGTCATAACTTCTTATTAGGGACTTTTAGATTTGCGTGGACTGATACGTGTGACGTCCATTAAAGGCAGTGCATTAAAAGGACGTCGATCGTAGCAATCCACGTTGTCGTTGTGCAAATCTAAAAGTCCCTAATATTAGTCAGGATGAACAATGTACTTTATTCTGGCAAAGAGGGCTTCGTGAAATGCTTATCAGACAATAAGCTTACTGGCGCTGATCCAGTTATCCAAGGAGTTAGACTTATGACTGTTTCGAGAAACGGTGCAGGCCCCAAGTCGATCTCCAGCGTATACTGCATATACGCAATAGTTTTCATTTGAAGGAAACATGACGACCTCGTCAGGGGCCTCATTGACGACCATCGAGGATTTTCGACGTCGGGCTAAGGAGCTGTTGTCATCAGAAGGCTGGTCATTTTACAACGATGCGTCGGGACGGAGATCGACATTTCGAGATAGCATGGCTGCCTTTGACCGGTAGGTGTTTGAAAAAAACGTTGTAGGTTAGTTGCCTTTATAACATAACGCTTTGTAAACATTTAAACGCGGCTCACTGACAAAAATTTATCTGTGATACTGAGCTCCTACTTAGAGCGATCGTTTTGAAGAGCATTACTCTATTATACCTGTCATAAAATTGCGGCTGTCTGACATCACGGCCATTTTCGTAAATTAAATGTAATCATTACATTCACCTCAATTATCATATGTCAATGGTCAGAATGCAAAGTATATACACTAAAGGCAAAATGTTTGTCCCGGAGTTTGTCCGTCTCATGCATCAACAACTAATGTATGCAGTTTGCATTCTTTTGAGAAACAATAACATGTGAATTTTATAACTCGACGCTTGTTAAACGTGTACAAACATTTGGATATGACTGTATTTTTTAATGGCCTATTTTGCATGTTGTATGACGGGAGAGAAGCGTTACAAATTCTTGAATATTTAGGTATAATAGCAAAATCATGTGACCTGAAACAAATAGGACTATCATGATGTTAAAACCCCTGTATAATATAGTTCATATACATGCACTGGTTGACCTGCAGTCGGTGCGTTAGGCAAACATAACAAGTAAATAGTCTATTTGGTAGCTTATCATGTACTGCGCCAAGGATATACCATATAATAGTCACAAAATTATTGTTAACCGACAACAAACAATGCCAAAGTTCATTTACCTATGTCGTTACACATTTACGCTGCAAAGGGCACTGTTTATGAAGGGGGTAAAAGGGGGTAAAAAGGGGGTAATTTTCCCTTCCTAAAATATTTCCGGGGGGGATGCAGCATCTTTATATCTACTATTAATGATAGCGCTTGAAGGGTTCATGCAGCTTTCTTCGCACGGTCTCTCGTATGCCACACGAGCATTTTTGCACAAAACAATAGACACCGATTGAGGGAATGATTGCTTCGTGCAATGCACAATGACTTTGTAGAATTATACATTTACGGCTTTGATTAGCTCCACGACAACCCTCAGATATAGGCCTATCGATCATAGTAAGCTGCCAATAAAGCGAGTGTGAACAAAAATAAACCGCGAGCAAGGAAGATCCCAGCGCATGCCTGTTATCAATTGTTGTGCCAATTTATAGTTATAATGGGTTATTACGGAATGATTATATAATTTGAATTTGAATTGAATTTAAATTTGAATTTATTCACCACAATTGAATCCTTTAAATAAGATTTGTGTATAATATTACAATTAAAAAAAACCGAGATTAGTTGCTATTTACATCTATGTTATTACAAGGTTATAATTCTTGGTTCTTACCCAAGAGTAATTTTGTAAGTTTTTTTTTACGAAAAGAGGTTCTTGATCTCTCAATTCTTAGATCAGTAGGAAGCATATTCCAAAAATTACAAACAGAAAACTTTCCTTCGTCTGTTTTTAATAAAGGAAGACGTAATTGTCGACCCGTTTTTTGTCTTATGGAATATGCATGTTGTATCATACTGCAATAATGTTTTAAGGAATGAGGTAATCGTTCATTTATCAAATCAAACACAAAAGTACAAATAAATAATTTATGCAATTTAAAAACATTCAACAATTTGAGGTAATGAAACAGTGCATTAGTATGAGAACGATGTGGCTTGAAATTTATAGCACATACAGCCAGCTTTTAAGTATAAAATATACAATTCAACTGTGATTTATAAATACTACCCTAAACCTCGATGCCATATATAATATGTGGCTGTATCAGAGCTTTATACAACAGTATCAATATATGTTTAGGGACAAAGAGCCGTAATTTAAAGAGGATACCGACCTTTCTCCGTTTATAGTCATTAACAGATTTTATATGTGAATTTCATGTTGAATGTCTGTCAATGGTAATGCCAACAAGTGTTGCTTCCTTCACTTCTCTTAATTCTGCCTCAGATATTTTAATCTCCCTCTAAGCACGGCCTTTCTTCTACAGCTACTAAAGTAGATGGAATTGTTTTTGACGCATTGATAGTCAGCTTATTTGCAGTGCACCAATTCTGTATTGAATTTGGATTTTCATTTACATCAGACTCATCTATTTGATCTACACCTTTGGGAAAAGTATGAAAAATATTAGAATCATCTGCAAGTAGTCTGAAATTGAAATAATTTGTCACTATTGGCTTGTCAATTATATAGATTAAAAACAGAGTTGGTCCTGAGATAAAACCTTGTGGTACACTTCATTTGATATATCTACTTTTTGATGATGACTCTTTGTATTTCACATACTGCATTCTGTCACTAAGATAGCTTTCGAGCCATTTCAGTGCATGTCCTCGGATGCCATAATATGATAGCTTTTTAAATAATATGTTATGGTTTATTGTGTCAAAAGCCTTTTGAAAGTCAAGAAACACACCAAGCGTAACACATCCTTCGTTTTTTTTTATATACTTT